TTCAACTTTAAAATTCAAAAGAATCGTTTACTCTAAAACAGTGGCAGAGCTAGAAAATAATGCTAAGAGCCTTAGATGGGCTGAAATTAAAAAAATTCGAATGAACTCGCATCATAAGAGGCCAAATATTTACAACAAAAAATGTGCGACGCTTAATGAAATAAAAGAAGTCTAGATGTCTCATCCTAAGATATTTCACTCGATCTTTTTATCTTTTCTTACCAAATAGAAAATCAACGCACACCTTAAAAAATATAAACTGACCAAATTATGATCGGAATAAGTAAATAATACATATCCACCAATAAAAAACTAAGAAATTATTTTATGAATACTATTCTAAATAACCTTCACGATCAGTTTTTTTAAACAACTAAAAGCTTTGGTCGAAACATTCAATCAATAATACATTATTATATGTTATTATCTCAAAATACTATTTGGCGTGGACGTCAATCTTCTATATCACTTCATTTTATGGTGAGCAAGGAATCCTACCCAAAGTGAAAAAATCGACTAAGAATTACGAGGATCCAAGGAAGTTAGATTTATCCATGTTTGGCTTAGTTTCAAGTATATATATTTTTTAACAAATATTATTTTTNCGAATAATTTTTTTTTTAATAAATATGAATAAGTAATATATGAAAACATGCGTAGAGATAAAATAAAATTAATTGATTTTGAGCTTAGCAAAACATGTAATTGCTCTAACTATTAAAATAAGTAATTTGTTTTTAAATTGTTCAATACAAATTATCTACAATAAAATTTACTTAATTATCATAAGTGAATTTAGTTAAGTATGCATTACATAAGATGTCTAAGTTAACAATAAGATATTCACGTTTCATGAATATCATGAAAATATTATTTAATAATTGTAGTCTCTTTAATTAAATTTGAATAATTGAGCATTGAACTTGATTGGAATTCATGCTAGAGTTGGGCTAACCAAATATTTCGATAAAAATTAACCAATTTATTCTAAATTATCCATATGGGTTGGGTTGGGTTGGGTTGGGGTTACTTTTCAAGAGTCGAAACTCTTCGATAACTCCAAGAAAACATCTCCAAACAAGAGAACCATGGCTTACCCTCTTCCATGGAGGTGCAAATGCAAGAAACAAGATGACATATATGGTCTCAGCAACCACACCAAAACCATTAACAGTAGCTACAAGATAACTGTCTGGCTTTGTGATTCCATAGTAAGTCCATAGAGATGAACCCAGCAGCGTGCAAATATAAGGAAGAGACTCAAACTCCTCTGTTGATCTGTCCTTCACAATCCTCCAAAATGTCTTCCTGCACAAACATTATTTTTTTCAAGAACTCATCATCTCTCTCTCTCTCTCTC